GCTTCCCGTTTAGATAGGTTTCCAGTACGAGTACAAGCAATTGAAAGTATTAAGTTAGTATTTCAAGAGTAGTGAGGAACTGGGTTACTCATATAGAACATTGTGCATTTCGTTGAGTGGAAGTTTTTTAAATGCACCTTGTGCTGAGTTGCTCCTATCATAGATGATACTGGCAACTCTCAACTTCCCGTGTATGCCCAGCTACTTGTAACTGCACCTTTGGCGGCGAGTTCATTTTGGCTTATCGCCTGTCTTCTTTCTGGGTGTGTTCTGTATGGTCTCGACAGGTCTCCTGGCGTCGTTAACGTTGGTATGTGCGCCGATCAGTTCAAGTCAGTCAAGGCCACAAAGAACATGGCGAATATTGCACAGTTCTTTCAGCAGCCCAGCTCCACACAGTCGACTGCTGCTACTTCTGCTTCTGCTGCTGTGGCCGCTAAGCCAAGAAGCACCGACAATGCTTGCGGAATGGAAACGTGTGAGTCTGTATCCTGTGCTCAGCCCAGTCAGTCTGTATCATGTGATCAACCAAGTCAGACTAAGCATCCTCTGCAGGATAGTTTATCTACTGAATGTGATGATGTAGTGCAGGCAACGAAGGGGGGCGCTATAGTATCTACCGTGACTTCCACGTGTGGAGGACAGTCAACAAGATCCGTCATCGACATGCTACAGCAGGCGCCAGCTGCTGTTCAGCCGCTTGCAGCTTGCTCCACTGCCGTCGGTGTCCAGCCTGACAACACCACTTCTTCTTCTTCTTGTGACTGGCAGCGGTGTGATCAGTGCAGCAAGATGGTGTCTGCCTGGGACCTGCCCGAACATTTAGACTTCCACTTTGCACAATCACTGCAAACCAAAGAGCGGTCTACCATGAGGGAAACGAACGAAGCACGGCGCAGTTCTCTGCCAGGCCCCGCCGCCAAACGCACGAAAATGCCCCAGCAGAAAAGGAGAAAATCATCTGGCCCATCTGGCCCTCCGATTAACTCCTACTTCTCTAAAGGATCGCCCTCATCAAAGTGAGTCCTTTCAAACTTCATCACACAGTATGCTCTTCTAATTTGTCTTCTTCTTTCTCTTTGGGCTGATTTTCTCAATGCTGACGAGATTAGACAATGCACGCGATTCATCATAACAGGCAGTACATTGCACTTTCATGCAACTAGTTTTACACATTCTGCCGAGTAGAGATATCCAAGCCAAGCTGCTTCTATCCTAATATTTTCAAATTCTGAAATTCCCTGTATTTGGCCAAGTCATCCAAAATGCTTCACCAAAAGTCATATAACAGAAGACCTTCCATGAGATCAGACTTTTCACTTTTGACATATTCTAGATATGCGCATAGACTGTTCGTCCACCAGCTTTCTTGAACTCTGAGCATGGATGGGGGGCAGGCTAACTTATTAGGGGATGTCTATGACCATCTGTAGTTAGATTTTCACAAAACGATATTTCATTTCAACTCTCCCTAAAATTAGAGGAAACATCCATTGTATGCTTTAACTGCCAATACATGCAATGTGCTATTTCCATTTCTGTTGAAAAAGAAAGAAGAAGAAAAAACGGAGTGAAGCCACCGAACCCCAAGTTGTTTTTGTTTTGTTTGTTTTTTAATTTTGCGGAGAACTTGCTAAGAAGTTGAATCAATTACGGCCGACCCCTTGCAACGACATCGAAGTAGTATAGATGTACATGTGTGTATGTGCACCTGTGTATGTGTGCATGCGTGTGCTCTCGACTGTACCTTGCATGCTATCCCTCCCGGATATGGTAGTACAGCCCCACCAGCAAGGAGAAGAGGTGGAGTTGTTGGTAACTGCACGTGCGTGTCACAACATACATGAACATGAGCATTATACCGTCACTTCCAAGCACATTTCAAGCGGTCTTACTCACAGCAAGGTGATATAGCCAGTGAAAATGACTGGGTTGGCTTATGGGGGTGGGGTGGGGTGGCAACTGGTGGCGAAGAAAAAGTCACACCTGCATACGACATGCGTGGGTTGCTATGCACCCACACACTGAGGCAATAGCAAAGTCACACCTTAGTGGATCCAAAATAGAAATCTGATGTGAACTTACAACTCCCTGGGCATTTTTGACATCATCACTTTCAAGCCCTATTGTCTGGATTTCACAACATCCCCCCTGGCCCTCTCCCTCACCTGCAAAGTAGTACAGTCTGTCCCCGGGGAAAAAAATCCCAGAATTTGCAGTGTAATTTGCGAGTAAATATGGCATAATTTGCGATGAATTTGCGGTAAATATGCGGTGAATACTATTGATATGCGGCAAGTTTGTAGTTGATATGAGGCAATTTTCAGTGAGTATGTAGTGAAATCAATCAGTTACAAGTCTCTGGTGTAAGCACTCGTCATATTGGAGTACAAAGCCGCCACGATTAGGCCTTTCCCAAATCGGCTGGCCGAAAAATTCGCCGAAAAGTAGCCTTTTCAGAAAATCGCCGATCTTTTGGCCGAATTCTGAGATTTTGCCAAGAAATCGCCGAATATACATCTACATGTTTTGCAGGGTCGTGGGCAACTGGCCATGACCGCTCGTGTACGCCTGCGTCACGGCCCGTGGGCATTTCCCAAATCGGCCGGCCGAAACATTGCCCGAAAATAGTGGTTTTGAAGAAATCACCGATCTTTTAGCTGAATACGCAATTTTCGCACTGAATTCGCCGAAAATTGATGTTTTAGTGCCTCAATACTCAGTCAATACTCAATAGCATGCAAATACAATTTCTGTAGCCATTATCTGCGAAAGGTGGCTGCGACTTTAGAGCCGAATTTCCACCTTTTACAGAAATTTTCAGCCGATTCTGGCGATTTTTTCAGCCGATCGAAAAGCCGTATAGGCCAAAATAAATGGCCGATTCGGGTAAGGGCTAGCCACGATGAGACGTTGCTGACCGAACAGTGCACTGTGTGTACGTGTAGTGCAACAAAAAAGTTCAAAAAACGCAGGAATATCGCGGAAAACGCGGTCTTTTAAAAACGCGGCCGCGGAATCGCAATTTCCCCCGGGGACAGTACAGTAAAACCTGGTGTAAGCGACCTCTGGGTTTAGCGACCACCTGCTCTTAATTAACGACCGTCTTCCCATGCACCGACAGTTCTACACACCCACTGTGGGACCTGGTTCTAAAGACCACCTGGCTTTAACGACCGTGTTTGCTTGCACCGTGGGGTGGCATGAACGTACACAGATAATGAGAAAATATTCGACAAAAATCAGAAAATGTATTGTCTTCATGATACATGTAATAATGTACTGTATGCCGGTGACCGTCCTGCTGTCTGTACCGAACGAGCCCGATAGACATGTGCTTGGATCTGGAGCCCCCCTCCCCTGGCACCTCAGCCCAGCTCATCTGTACTTTTCTCACAGACTAAAACACCAAGAGTACATGAATTGAAAACCTTTTTTTCGTTTTGTTCCCATGTACTCTTGAAAGCACCAACTGCAAGGACCAAAAACAGTTCCATAGTAGTATGAGTGTTGTGTATGTACATGTAGTGTACTACAATTGTAGTACAGTACCCCTTTTCGTGTGAATCTTATCCAAGCTTCTACAAGTTGTAGAAAATGTCTACTGACAGCAATGTTGACTAGTGATAAGCACAAGTTAGATTTGCAGATTCGCAGTACGGTGCGAAGTAATGTGCAAAGGGCCTATTCCAGTCCCTTTATCGCTGCACAGCTGAGCAGCACAAACAACAGGCTCCCTTGCAGCAAGTTGTCTTTGAAAGTCGTTTCACGGAGGTAAAGGAGACAGCTCGAAGGATAACGTACATCACACAAGTACCCAAAGCCTAACCTGGCACACCAGTGACTCATTAGAAAAAGCATTCTTTGCCATCAACCGTGCATGCCAAACACACAGTCTGCGTAGGAAGCAAAACGCTGCAAAACAATACAATTAGGTAGATCAAGGGAGAAAGGAAAGCTAAAAAAACAACGACAACAGAGGCATGGGGGCCGGCCTGGGTTAGAAAAGAAGGACTGAGATAGATGCAGACAGAGTTTGCTGATTGGCACGGTTTTACTTAAACCATGGCATGATCTGCTCTTCGAAAAAGGTCTGGTTCATCTGCAGATGATCACTGTCACTGGCAAGGAAGTGGATCTTGCCGGCAGCTTCCATCTCCTGCAGGCCGAGCAGGTCTTTCTGATAGACCCTGGTGTCCTTCATCGACACAGTTTCCTTGTCACTGTTTGGCTTGTAGAAACCGAACCATTCGCTAATGGATGGCTGCACCATGGTGTCACGCATGAAGCGCACCAACACCAGGTTGCTCAGCTTCTGAAGGTTCGTCTTGTAAGCAGCATTGTAGGTCTTCTCGTTATTGATGTCGGCGAGGAAGACGTTCTTCTCGACGTACTCGTCATAGTGGAATGGATCCTGCCAGTATTCGGCCTGCACAAGGTGGTCCTGAACGAAAGACACGTAAGCGCCCACATCCAGCAGCTTGCGCATGATCTCGCACAGAGTGCTGTTAGCACCGGGACAGCGGGGAAACCCATACACACCCTGGTGCTGACCACCCACCGAGACCAGGTTGTGCATTTGCGGCTCGGGACAGCGCTGTGCAACGGCGCGCAGGAACTGGCCACCCTGTGAGAAGCCAATAGCATTGAAGCCATCGGCCAGCTTTGGGTCTTGCTTGAGCTTGGCGCAGACCTGTGTGATTTGGTCGTTTGCGTTCATCAGGAATCCATTCTCCGTGTCCTTGACAACTGAATCGCCTATCTCCAATGATCGCACATACACACCTGGAAGGGCAGATTCGAAGGCCTTCTTGATTGAACCCATACTCAGTGGATTGCAGCAGGAATCGCCCATTCCATGCCACATGACAATCGGCAAAACAGCCTGGCTAACATGGCTGCATGCAGCCAGAACAAGCACCAACGCTGACAAGCTACGGAAACACATCTTTACTGGATCAAACAACTACCAGACTATCCCGAGCAAACTTTTCGAGAGACCCTTCACCAGTACTATACAGTGTTCACTTTCACACAAGAGAAGCCCGGATGCAGATCTTCGTCAAACCGTACCCGTACATAGATAGTATACGAAATACTATAAAAAGTGCAAAATGCGTATCATCTGCTTTGGCCAGATTATTATTATTAATTTTATAATGTTATGATGACATAACAGATGATAATGCGCCCTCAGCCACATGTACATGCACATGCCATTCACGTGATCACTTGATTCACTTCTAATTCTACAAGATACAGTTTAAAGGGGAACTACACCCAAAAATCAAAACTTCATGGTCCGTAGAGTTTTGGACGCTGATTCGAATGGTGAAGGTCCCACTTCGATCCGACCAAGCGTTCCTGAGATATCTTCGGTTTAAATTGTACTTTCGGGGGACGCGCCATGACGTCATGCGGCCGCGACACACCCCCAACACGCCCTTCTACGTCATTGAGACTCGCTTGCCTGGGCCAAGCTCAGAAGTACAGGTATTTTGGTATGTGAAAGGAATAGTTCTGACAAAGACGTCCTCACCATGAGCGATTCCGACGTATCAGACGAGCTTGAAAGCTCAGAGCCTGAGCTGAAAATGTTTGGCTTCGGGCATGAGCCGAAATTTTCAGGAAAGGATATGGCAGCGCAAGCGGTGGCTTCCATTCGGGCTGTAAATGTGGATGAAGCAGAAATTACTGCAATTGGAGAAGTCGCTCTCCATCAGCAACATCTGGCAACCGGTTGGCTGGGCTATTTCGAAATAAAGCGGCAGCCAAAGCAGCTCAGACAACCCTGACAATCCGTAAGTGTTTTCACAGTATAGTCCTACGTAATGCTCACAAATCGAATCGTTCTCTTCATATCGTAAATTGTGTGAAATTTTGTATTCGCACAGTACTCAGATCAATAGTCTCCTCACTCGTACTCCTGTACATGGAGTTTGCTGCGTAACATGGCTAGCATTTATCTCCGTGCAAGTCGTGCAATGTGTATGGGTTCACTTGTGCTTTATCTCACATAAGTGGACTGCACCTCAATTCGTAGTGTGGCGAAATACATTCTCACCTTTTGCATTATCACTTAGTCTTTACAGAATGCTGAGACGTTCTCTTGTATTTCACGTAGCTGTGTACCAACAATTACGCTGTGCACTCTAGCAGCAGCAGCAGCAGCACAGTAGCATATTGAGTGCGTTTTGCCCTACATGGTGTCTCATGACTGAGTTACCGGAACAGCTCTGTCCTTGATTATCATTCTAAAATGTGTGCACATATCCGCCTGCGCCCCACACACACGCACGCACATGTGCTCACCTTGGTGGGCACATAGTATAGTAGTCACACATGCTCACGCACGCAGACACGCAATCTCACAAGCGCGTGCGCACACGAGTGCATAAGCATACAAGTGCCTGTGCACATGCTCATGCACGCACACATGCGCACACTCATGCACGCACACATGCGCACACTCATGCACTTGGTTGCATACCCACACATCCCTCAGGATCACTAACGGCAATGCATCTACTACTTGTCATTCCATGTCCCTCCCGCAAGGGGGAGAGAATGACATAAAGGAGAACACAGAATAGATGACGTGAATATCTTTGGAATGTTATATTACATTACACAAAAGCACACGCATGTGCGCGCACACACACACACACTCAAGCGCATGCGCACACACACACACTGACGCGCATGCGCGCGCACACACACTCAGTGTCACGCGCGTGCGCGCGCACACACACTCAGTGTCACGCGCGTGCGCGCGCACACACACACACTCATGCGCGTGCACCCACACACACAATAATAATAATGTCTGTCTCTCGCGCGCGTGCGCGCAAACACACTCACGTGCGCGCACACTCACGCACGGGCGCGCGCACGCACACACTCACGCGCGCGCGTGTGCGCGCACACACACACACTCACACGCTTGCACGCATACACACAATAATAATATTGTCTGGCTCTCATCTGCATCCATACTGAGAAAACCCAACGAGTTCCCGAATAGGTGTACACCGTTGCCGGTATGTGGACTATCTTCTCTCCTTGAACTGCGGGTCATTGCGTGATGTAGCTTATCAGCAGTACATACTGTGTGTTCATACAGGAAAAAAACATGCCAGCTAGAGGCGCTGGCGCTGCAAACAGTCCTTCCTATAACCTTGGGGCGGTGGCAGTGGTCGTAGCTCAACAGTGAGTCACTGCGCCGATGGTACAGCCGCTCTTGATCTTCTTCCTGGAAAATCAAGAACAGCAATCGACGACAGGTTCATCGATCGCACGCAGTATAGCCTAGGGAAACAGGAGATCTACTGCCGTCCTCCTCATCAGGCCGGTTTCGGAAAGCTTCACATTTCGTAGTGATGTAGTCCAAAACAATTCTACAAATGCTTTGGAAAAGAAAGAACTACATACAGTAGCTAGTGTTTTTGAAATATTGCACTCACCTCCGCTTTTCGACTGACACTTCACAGTGTGGCGTGCGAAAAAGGACGCACCACAGTTTCATCCACCAGCGTCCGCATCGGATGGGTGCATAATATTCCTCCTGAAAATCCTCCTCTGCCAAATGGCTGGAACACACGCGTCCCTAAATTCCCTAAATAGTCCCTAAATTGTCAAGCAAATAATTATGTCGCTTGATAGCTGCTATGGTGCACTGCTCGGCCTGTGCCAAGCACAATCCTTCAGAAATTGGTGCAGGTTCATCCCAGGGGGGTTACCAGTAAGATAATAGTAGCCAACAACACAGCCAGAAGCCATGATGACACAAATACCCTCTTCTTCCATGGACAAACAGGAAGAAGATGCGAAATCCCAGTGTTTCTGGATCTGGCCAGAGGATCACCAAGTCTCAATGACGTCACGGGTTTGTGACGTCACGGCACGGACCCGAAAAGGACAATTGCAAACTGATATACAGTATCTCAAGAACGCTTGGTCGGATCGAAGTGGGACCTTCACCATTCGACTCAGCGTCCAAAACTCTACGGACCATGAAGTTTTGATTTTTGGGTGTAGTTCCCCTTTAAGGAGGTTCGCGACGGTTAGCGCCATGTTGGATTTCCGAATTTTTTTCTGAAAAATAATGCCTTTCGGAGTGGAAAATGGGACGCGATCATTCAAGTAGTTTGACCATGACTTCGCAGCGCGTGCTCGAGTCGAGACAAGATTTGAGGAAGAAGCTCAGCCGCTAGTGGACTTGCGGATTTGTTTTGACATCGGCGGTTTTTGGATAGCTTGGTTCTCCTGCCGACGTGTCGTGGAGATGAAGACGCGGGAGAGTAATCCGTCACCCACGATGCGGCCTCGCATTCTGCGTACTGGACGATTCAAGAAGCCGAGAAGGGGGACGCTTCGCAAGCTCGAACGATCGATCGAGTTCCTGAAAAACGGAAAGGGCGATCTCCACCACCAACGCCACTGGATTCGACTCCCGCGAAGAGGTCGTTCAGTGCCCCTCTTCACGGTCGACGAATCGTTCATCTCAGGTATCTGGCTGTGGGATTGTCTGCTTGCCAGAATCCTGGATGTGGCAAACCTCTGGCGCTCATTGATTGCGTTGAAGAGAAGAGGTATGGCCTGGGCAGCGTACTTGTCATTCCGTGTCAGCAGTGTGGGATGGAGAATTTTATAGATACAGATAGCCCTGTAACTGCTCAGCACCCTGGCCCCCGTGCTTCCACAAGCAACACCAAAGCTGCTTTGGGTAAGTGTGTTTTTCAATCTCATCAGATTTATTCATGATATTTGCGAGTCATTGCCACCCTATGGCTATGGAAATGTATGAGCACACTGTATGCGCGGCGCGCGCGAGCGTGTGTGTGTTTGCATAGACCTGCATGTTTGTGCATGTGTGCACCATACGCATGTATGAACATGCACATGCATATGCGCTCATGTGGACGTGCCCTCGCACATATACCATACACACGTGCATGACCGCCCCAAGGGCATGTTGGTGTGACATGATTGTGTATGCGGGCACTTCCACTCATGCACATGAGTGTGCACATGCATGTGGGTGGGTACGTACACGTGCGTGAATGTATGTGTGTGTACGCGCACGCGCGCGTGTGTGTTCTATTGCGTGTGAGAGCATGCGTGTGTGTGTGTGTGTGTGTATTGGCGTGGGCCTGCGTTTTGTAGTGCGTTCAATGATGAGTGTTTTCAATTCTGATTGCCGGTACTTTTATCCCATTGTTGCGGTTCTATAATTTTTTGTGTTACATGTGTGTGTGTGTGTGTGTGTGTGTGTGTGTGTGTGTATGTGTGCACGCATGTGTGTGTCGATGGTGTGCATTTTTGTGCTGGGTGAACACTCTGATCTCTAAACCGCGATACCGGAGCTCCCAAGCTACAGCCTCAGATTGATTTATAGTTCATCGCTGGGAATGAGTTCGCTGCTCATGATGCTGTTGCGGATATTGCGGCCCTAGTCGAAGCTCGCCCTGATGCCAGTATCCTGTAGCACTCTGTCACTTTTGCATCAGCATGTTCGGCGATGGAGTTTGCAGAACATCAGCAAAAGCGGCTGGCCACCCTTCAACCGTTGGTCCAAGCAACGTGCTGCTCTAAATCAGTTGCAGTGCGGGCAGCTGCTAGTGGGTTGGTGATGAAGCACTTTGTCTTGTCCTACAAACGAAGTGGTGAGCCAGCCATTTCCAGACTGATGAAGGAGCAAGTCGGAGGTAAGAAGCGGGTGACAGCCTCAAGGAAGATTATATTAGCGGTGGCTGAACACCTAGCCAAGAACCAGCAGCAACCCAACTGTAAGTAACGCCCTGTGGCACAGCGCTTCACTTGTTTGTGCGCACCGTAAAGTACCATCATTTTTGCCAGTGTGGGAACACGTTCTAGCTCGCATAGTTGAAGAACAAGAGGACTCAATGTTGTCTGATTCGTTCCAACATGTCAGCTTTCATTGTAGTTTGATATGGGGCTGTGCTAAGCGCTATCACAGCTACATGTGTAGTGTATCCACTCCAAACCCCATGCCCGGGAGAATTCCGTCAAATTTGTCTAAATCGCAACTTGTACTCCTGACTCTTCCTTACTTTTTGGTCCCGTATACCGTAATGTCGCGTGCATTAGCCGGGGCTTATATGCCTATAAGCCGGTGATGGAGTCAGGCTTGTACACAAGACAGGCTTATACACGAGACAGGCTTATATGACAAGCACCACTCAATGACCAGGCTTGTATGCGCCGAAACAACTTCAAACAAGCAACTTGCCAAGGGACAAGACGGAAAATGCCATGGGAAAGGTAAGTTTGAAGCTTGAAGAGTGCTGCATGGCCGTCGAGCGCAGCTGGTGTTGATTTCCGCATCTTCCCACGTTTTCCGCGTGTGCAAGTGTACGGTACCATGCAAACATGAACATGTAAAAGGCGCGCTCACCAGTCTTGCGTAGTAGCCCGGCTTACGCACGCGACACGTGGCGCGTCTCGTGTACTGGCCCGGCTTATGCATGCGACAGGCTTGTACGCGAAAAGCTGTTGCAGATTTCATGCTTCTACACGAGACAGGCTTATGCACAAATCCGGCTTATGCACGCGACATTACGGTATCCATAATCACTCCACTCTAGTTTCTGCCGATCCCGCGTACCCGCGCGCGGTGTTCTCACGCACCGTATTGCGTGGTACGATAATGTTGTACTTTCCTATGCCGCGTACCCATTTTTGGCTTTCTTCTCCCTTTTTATGTATTCTCCCTTCGACAAGAAGTGCTTCTCTTCCCTTGGTAGTTAGAAGACGGTTGTCGTTTTTTCTCTCTGAACTTCAGTTTATCCATGTAATTCTGGTGCCCCTGGCTTGCTGTGTCGTGTGGTGTTGGATGTGAGGAATCTGCATGCTTTCCGAAGATTCCAACACATGTACACGTATCAAAACCAAGTACCAACAGGAGAGTAATCATGGAGAAAAGTACCTATCGATAATGCGTGCACCCAGGGTTTTCCGGCAAATTCACTAGTTCAGCTATTCCATCCTTGTATTGTTCTGAACGCCGAGGGCTCTAGCGAGTTTATGCAACACCTAACAGCCAAAAATCCAATAAGTTATGACTAAAGCAGCAGCAGCGAAGTACAAGCAATATAGATACGTGAATTTACCAATTTTAGGCAAATTTTGACAGTTTTTTGGATTTTTCTCCAGAATATGCACGGTGACCCCTATTTTCGCCACGGTAAACCTGTTCCAACCCACTTATAGAATGTATTTGAAGTATCCACATATGGGGCAAACTCAAAAATAAGCTGCAAAAAATATTCAAAGTTTCATTTTTTGCGTCTTTTTGTTCTTCTCAAGGAAATGACGACCTGGATCCCATCGTCAACCAAAGTGTACATTTTTCGGTGTTGATATCATCTTAGTCAATACCTCGAACAGTCTGTATAATTTTATGTCATATTTTCTGTCCTAACTAGTGTTATGGACGATTTCTCATCAATTTTCGGATTTTGCGATATTTTGTGTTATCAAGGAAAATTGTGTTTTTGGCAAGACCTATTCAGGCAATTGAAAAACTGATGTTACTAAGCGAAAATATAAGGCTGTACCTATTCAAACCTGATGTCAGATTGGGCTGATGTTGAAATTAATTTTTTGGGCCTAACTGTCCCGAACCCCCTTAAAATTATTTTTATTTGAATCACATCACGTGTACGCGTGTACACGACGTACTACATATATACGTGACGTCGACAAGACGAGTGATCGACGTCACGCGTCGCGCAGATTTTGTGTAAAATGTGAAAAAAGTGAAAAAAATGATGAAAATAGTGGGTCGGTCACATTCAAAACATTCCGATCCACTGTACTGGCAAAGAAGAGTGTATTCGTACAGTCTTGTACATGTATTATTATTTTTTGAATTAAAATTAATTTGTCTTGTCTTGAAAGTGGCTCATGTTCTCGATCATAGCTGCAGCAGTCTCCGCAGGGCTTTCCTTGTTTGTGACTGGCATATCCTCATTAGTCTTGTAAGTTGTAAGCTCTCGAGTTAGTTGAACACAATGGAGTTATTCCTACCTCCTGAATCTGTACGCGGTATGACGTCTCTCGTCAAGGAGTCGTTCTCCACAGATATTGCAGTACAGGGGATTAATGTGCCTAAAAAGAAATGCCAAGAGGTCGTGAAAGCACTGAGGAAAAATTCCCAATGCCTGAAAGTTTCAGGAGTTGCGCCGGTACGCGAGATACCTGACGATGCGGTTAGTGGCTGAACAGTTTCTATTTCTATAATGATACGTGAAGACCCATTTTCAACTCCCTCAACCTTATGAATATGTGAAGGGTTGTTCACTTTTTTCTAAGTTTTCGATGCATGCATGCGTACCGTTAATTCTAGACCAAGCGCATCATTCCCACATTTACCTACGTAGCTACATACGTGTACATGCATGCACCATAATGATAATTATTTACACAGGAATGAAATAAGAACAGAAAGAGTAAAAAGGTCCAGAAACGTTTTTCATCAATGTTCACCGTTGAATCTCAATCCAATGCAGGCCTTGGTGCTTCGGTACAGAGATGCGTTCGCTTTGAACCCGTCTGAGCTTGGTCGCACTTCGGTGCTGTACCACAAGATTGAGCCACGTGATCGTGGGCCTGTTGCACAGGCTGCTCGGCGTATGCCATGGAACTCTCGTGAAACTGCTCGCGAGCTCGTTGATGATATGAAACGGCAGAGGCTGGTGGAAGATTCTACTTGTATTTGGTCGTTGCCTATTGTGAATGTCAGAAGTAAGACGGTTGACACGATTTAGTGTGGACTACAGGAAGCTTAGTGCTGTGACAGAGCGGAACCGGGATTCCCTCCTGCGAATTAAAGAGACGCCTAGCGCTCTGTACGATTCAAACATGTTGTACCCGAGACCGTTGTTCAGGTTGTCGTTGCTATGCCTTTGAGCAGTTGCTGACAAGAGAAGACGGTCTTCTCTACGCCCGACAGTCATTATCAATTCATGTAATGTCATTCGGAATGTGCAATGGCGCCAGCCATTCCAGCGGCTCATGAGTTCACTACTCAGGGACCGTCCGTGGCGTACCTGCTTTCTAGTGTATCTAGGATGAAATCACTGTTTCAGCGTTCATTGATGAACATCTCAAATGTTACGATGCTGTGCTCAGAGAGTTGGTTGCAAAACCGTACTGTACTGCCGCAGAACTGTGCTACAGTGTGTGGATTGTATCTGTCCTTGTTGGCAGTAATGAGCCTACCATGGAAGTCTTGGCGAGGTCGCCAAGGTCTTTTGTAATGGGTGGAGTGTGGGTGGAACCGATTCGTTGGATACTACCGAGTCTATGAAATGGCTCTTGGAGCTCTGCGGCAGTTTTGTACTGAACCTGATACCTACGTCGGTAGAGGTGTCTACCACAAGTTATGGCCTATGCGCTACCTCCATCTGAGATGGCACGAAATGGCGAACTGTCATACGTATATACTTTGTGTTAGAGATTGGCGAACGTGCATTCGGTTGTACGTGACACGCTGCGTGCTGTTCATCAGCGCCAGGCTCATCTCTACGATAGTAGAGCAGTACCAGTTTCATTTGAAGTTGGAATTTTTTTCGATAGAAATGTCCCTCCTGTGGAGCCACATTTCGTACTTTACGCCCGTACCTGTTACGGTACAGAACTAGTTGGCACGGCCAACAAGAGCTAGGCGGTTACACGACTCGCTGACTTTAATATTAGTTGAGATCACGGGAACGGGATTCTTGAGAGGCCGGGGAATTGTCATGACCAGGGTCAGACTCGTCTTGAAAGCGACCATGCATTGAGTTCAGCAAGCCAAAAGCTGGACTCCGAAATATTCTAGAGTTCTGTAAGAACTATGATTCGTCCTGTGAAGGATTTGGCACTTTCGTTAGCTGAGCAATCATGGCTTACAGCTCGTGGCAGAGAGCCACCAAGTGTTGCCGTACGTCGACGACACCTTCAGTACAAGTCATCAGCGTTGTACTCACTGCACTGTTGAGCTTGAGGGGACCACGCTTCGTCCTGCAAGGGAGCTGATACCCTTGTTAGTTTAGCAAGAGTGGCACCTCTTCTCGCGTCATACGATGTAAAGGGTCTGCAGTGCTTCCCCTACTGACTCCGTGCCTTTTGGAGGGAAAGCGGCCCTGCCGTCTGCTGCTATGTTTGGGGGAAGAGCCCATATTGGGTGAAGCTACAAAAACGCCACAGCTACGCTTCCCGCCTGCTGCAATGCCGATCCAGTCGACCGGATCGCGGACCAAGATCATGCCAGCATTTGGAGATGATTAATATTCATATTTGGTTGAGCGGGCTCCCCGTATTGATATTTGTACATGTACTACATTCTAGTTTGGCTGATTGCACCACTGTTTGAAATGTAGGAATAATACTTACGCATTCTTACCTAACTTGCGCATAATGTAACGTCAAGAGTGCATAAACAAGAGTATGCAACTGTGGTTATGGGCCAGTGCGTGGCGCGCTGCCTTCATTTCGTAACTTGCCTCCATCACGCTCTGAAAGCATGCACTCAAACCCACAATTTCTCGTACGAGCCCATCCGTTTTTGCTCGGTTCATTCCAGTACCTACGCAATCTCTAAATTTTGGTGCGTGAACTCCAGTTCCGTACGAAAATTCATTTCAAACCAGAGGGAAAGCATGATGTTTGATTTTCCCCAGTGCGCGGACTGCAGCTGAATGATGTAATGAAGGCAGCGCACCGCGCATCTGGCCTATAGAAAAGAGATCACAGTTGCATACTCTTGTTTATGGACTCTTGGTAACGTATATAAAGAGCTGTTTTGCTAGCATTCATCCTCGACTCTCGGGGAGCACTCACTCCTCTCGATTCTCAGATTCACTCTCTGATGCTTTCTGGGTCTCTGACTCTTCATGCTTGATCTTTCGATCTAGCATTGCGATGGTTCAATAAACACTGTTCAAGTGGAATTAGAAACCTGTTGTTCTGTGTGAGCTAGCTAACTTGGATGGCGACTACCATATATTGGCCGTCTACCTGGGTAGCCACTAGACTGATCTATGCCTTGTCACAAACCCACAACGCGGCCATGACACAAGCAAGGAAACATTTGTCCCATGAAGATGATTCCCTTTACGGAATTGACCCAGCTTATTGTGATTGGCTGTTGTACGATGCGGTAAAGAAAAATATGTCGTTCTACTGGACTTATCCAGCTATCTTGGACTGTTCTTTCTTGCCCCAATCTTGTGCAGAACTCTATGTTGGTGTTGCTTATGCCCGGTGTCGAGCAAGAGAAATTTCCTGCGTCCGTCTCTGATCTCCTGGCATCTGGTACATCGACCATCAGGGAGACACAGCTTACTATTGGCTTCAACAACTTCAGCACCACACAGCTCCTGGACAGCATTCTACCCAAGTCTGTGCCAAGAATCAATGCATTTGCCACAATCGGCCACATGGCACACATTAACTTGCGGCGAGAGCAAGAGCCTTACAAGAGCATCATTGGTATGTGACTTTTAGATAATAGTCTTACAGAGCATGGTTTGCTTCGGAACTGTCTCTCTCTCTCTCTCTCTCTCTCTCTCTCTCTCTCTCTCTCTCTCTCTCTCTCTCTCTCTCTCTCTCTCTCTCTCTCTCTCTCTCTCTCTCTCTCTCTCTCTCTCTGTCTGTCTTACAAGCATGGTTTGCTGCAGAACTCTCTCTCTCTCTCTTCTCTCTCTCCCGTTTTTTTCTGTCTCTCCCTACGTCTTTGTGTTTTTGTCTGTCTTGGTTTGCTTCGGAACTCTCTCTCTCTCTCTCTCTCTCTCTCTCTCTCTCTCTCTCTCTCTCTCTCTCTCTCTCTCTCTCTCTCTCTCTCTCTCTCTCTCTCTCTCTCTCTCTCTCTCTCTCTCTCTCTCTCTCTCTTCTCTCTCTCCCGTTTTTTCTGTCTCTCCCTACGTCTTTGCGTTTCTGTCTGTCTTGCAGAGCATGGTTTGCTGCGGAACTCTCTCTCTCTCTCTCTCTCTCTCTCTCTCTCTCTCTCTCTCTCTCTCTCTCTCTCTCTCTCTCTCTGCTCTCTCTCCCGTTTTTTTCTGTCTCTCTGTACGTCTCTGTGTTTCTGTCTGTCTGGCTGGCTGGCTCTCCTCTCTCTCTTTCTCACGGACTGACTAAGTGAGTTGACATTGAAGGACAATGTGATGCTCCTCAAATCCTAGTAGTAAACACACATCATGCGCCAATCGCAGAGCCGGTGGCTACCCCTATGTGCTGTTCAACATGGCTCTGTGGCTCGCGCCTTATGGTGTACCTTAGTAGTGGTTTGTTGTTTGTGTGCGTGTCTTGCTTGCTACCGCCGATGCTTATCTAGGTGAGGTGATCCTGGCGAAGAACCAGATCATACGTACAGTTGTGAACAAGACACACTCAATCAACAACACGTTCCGTACGTTCAATATGGAGGTCCTGGCCGGTGAACAAGACACACTGGTGACACACAATGAGAACGGCTGCATGTTCAAGTTTGACTTTGCCAAGGTATTCTGGAACTCGCGCCTATGCGGCGAGCACCAGCGTATCGTGGAGCAGCTGAGTAGGTCCGACGTTGTGTGTGATGTGTTTGCCGGCGTGGGGCCGTTCGTCATCCCCGCTGCTAAGCGAGGCTGCCGCGTCTATGCAAACGATTTGAACAGCGAGTCGACCGCCAGCCTGACAGAGAACTGTCGCTTGAATCACGTCGCCTCGCGGGTGTCTGTGTTTACCCTGGACGGTCGTCAGTTTCTGAAGGAGATATCCGCCAAAGTAGTTGCCGGCCGGGCTGAGAACGGGGTGAACAATAGCAGTGTTGGAGGCAACGAAAGAACGCACGTTGCCTGGCCCATGTTCAATCATGTTGTGATGAACTTGCCGGCGATAGCTATCGAGTTCCTGGATGCATTCCGAGGTGTTTTCACCGGGCATGACGATGTGCGACTGCCCATGGTTCACTGCTACTGCTTCTCATCTGCTGACAATCCCCACCAGGAGGTGCTCGAGCGCGTCAAGAGTGCGCTAGGCGTCAAGGAACTTGGCGATGAGACCAAGCTGCACGAGGTTCGCAGTGTTGCTATCTCCTCTCGCCAATATTGTGTATCATTCCGTCTGCCCAGGGAAGCAGCAATGGCCGAGCCGGACTGCGGGTCAGGTAAGCGACATTGCAAACTCAAATGAAAACAGGTCTACTGTACTGCTGTTTCCTAGGAGACAGAAATGCAATCGGTCGGAAGAACAGAACTAACTTCACATCACAAGAAACACTTCTGAAAGTTTCCACGAGTTCTTTCATTGCCTTCTCTTCAGGTGCATGCCGGAAGAAACGAGACTAACCAGAACAGTAACTGATACGCAATGTAAAGGTGATATAACATGTTGATCGGTTGACAGCGTGTTACAAGGCGGCGGATGCACTGTGTTGAAAACAGTGCTCCTGACTGCAACCATCATCGGTTGGCATAAGTGCGTATACAAAACGTGTACGGATACGACGTACTCTGATAAGACGTACAACTCGAGTATGGCGGGCTTTTTAGCAGGTCCCAACAGAGCTAGTGTATTCTAGAAAGTGCTGACTTTCAAACCTTTAGATAAAGAACACGTGCAAGTCCTATAATCATGCACAAGTGGTGTAAGTGTGAAGAAATCGGCATAGGTGTGATATGCAATGTGATATCAATTGGCAGCGAAGGTACTGAACTAACGATGTGTCGGTTGTTGTCGCTTCTTATCCGTAACTGTGTCGTGCGGTGCAGATGAACCAGATGCGAAGCGAGCACGTGTGGACACATGACAGCCACATGGATGACCAGCCAGTAACCGAGCAGTTATTGTGTGACCAGCCCTGTCTGAGTAGTCATGGTGTGGGACCAACGCGCATCTGGGTAGTCTGTGCGTGTGTGATCACGCACACTTGGGTGGTCACTTTACGAAACAAGTCGTACCAGGATAGTTGCGCATAGTCAGCGGTGATTGTACAATCGCTGTGCAAACTTCTTATAGTGCTACACGGATGCTGTTGTAGGCTGTAGCTATAGGGCACAGATCAGTAGTAACCAGTCACCAGGCACAGTTGCCCTCCCCTACCTGCTGCTGGCCACCATGTGGGCCATTTGCTAGGCCGACCAATACTGCACTGGCCCCGGGCTCTAGTCCAGTGCGAACGCAGCTCAATCTTGCTTTCGAGCAGTGGACATTCCGGGAATGCCCGGCCTATGTCAGGTCTCCTGGCCTAGCTAGTGTCATGTAAGGGGCCCAGGGACGTCACTGGCTACACGTGCCAGTTACTTGCTCAGAGGTCTGAAACCTCTGAGGTAGCATTACCATGATTACTGCAAACCCTGTAAGGTTCACAGCTACATGTATAAACAATGGCCGTCATCTGGATTTCTCATGCCAGTACACATTTTCTATGCCTTGTTGGAACATTAGAGCATTGTTGTTGTTCACTGTGACCTTGGTGACAGTCCCATAACCCAGTACATTGTAGTTGGCCTTTTCTAGATGACTCATAGCCCTCCACTTGATTCAAAGCGCACTGCCTGATTCGTACTTTGCAATGTATTCTAATTTATTTCTGGTGTAGAGAGCACTATTACTCTAGTTCTATTTTCCAACTTTTTTTAAAGAATTTAAAACATGCAAATAATGTCTGGATGTATCATGTACAATCCTGCACTTTAGTGTCACAGCACAGCGCGTTTGCACAATACAGCCGTGAGCCTCGGCGATGTGCACAGTGCAGGCCAGGCCGTTGAATTGTTCAGGTGCTTTGCAGGCAGTGTTGTGTTGTCAGCACACTTGGGGCGCGTTCGAATTGTCACTCTTTGACTTTTCGAGGAGTTTCGTTTTTTCTGAAGGAAGCTTTATTTGCCTCTTCAGAACACGAAAATCTCCTCGAAACTCCACAATCTCATCTGATGGAAGAGGTGGATTAGTTCCGAAGAGTTTGGAATAATAGATGGTCGGTCAGATCGGACATCATTATCGCCATGACAATTCCACTGAAAAACTCTAAAATGATAGAAACCGTTCTATTGTGTCACTTCAACTGATCTCTTTTAAGAATTTGTGCGAAAACTTGATGACAATTCGAACGCACCCTAATAGGCCATTCACACGACGTGTAAACACTTGGACGTGTGTGACCAAGAATAAAATGCCACTGGCAAACCGTGATCCAATTCACTCGGTAGACTGGACAAACTTTGGAACCGTCAATTTATCCATGACCTGAAAATGCCGGGAAATGTTAAATTTTGGATTTTCCTTTGTTCAAGCACTGCATTTGCAGTCGTACGCACTTTCAACCAACATTTTTCAAGGCGTGCAAAGATAATCGCGAGCAAAAGGGCCTCAGCCAAGATATTAAAAAATCAGCTGCACGCGTGTGTCCAAGTTTATCGTATCCGAGTATATACCCTTGGAAACGGTACGATATAAGTGAGTTTGCACGTCGTGTGAATGGCCTATAACTATAAGCAAGGTTTATGTACTCTTGCTATAAGACATGTACATACATGTACTGCCTTTGATCCTAGAGGGTGGTGGCGTTCCCACGGCGGATGCGGAAAACTCGGCTTCCAGCCGAGTCTCACGCGAACCGTGAAATTTAAATTTATTTTTTATACATGTACTGAAGTACTTCCATGGATACCTACATGTTTATGTAGTGTACCTTTTGCTCATTCAATTCCGAGTTCAGGTTTTCACCAGGGAGTCGTAAAATACGGTATTTTGCGACTCCCTGGTTTCCACCCTGGTGGTAGGCCATGGCCGAACATTTGGTGAAATGAAAATCTAAAATCAATTTGCAACAAATAAAAGGTGTGGTTTGGGGGGAGAAATTAATGCGGTCATCTTGCACTGCAAGGTGCCAATGTGCCTAACAAATGCCAACATTTATTCACTAGTTTGAAGGGTCGAAAAGGGAAAAGCCGAAAGAAAAAAATTGACTACCACTACCAGGACTCGAACCAAACGTCAACAAGGGGAATAGAAATTATCAAATTGAAATCTATTTTCTCAAGCACAACATATAGGTTGTGATAGCCTCCTCGATTTAATTTCAAACTGAACAAGACAAGATGCTAAGAGCAGTCAAGTGCCATTGCTGACTGTAGATCGGCTATGTCCCAGATCCACCATCAGGAGGAGCAGGAGACTTGATCTCCAGAGACTGCGATAGTGTCAACCAGCTCAGCAGGGAAAGGTTTTGTGTGACCTTCATACCGCCGCGGAACGCCCCGGGCCAAAGCGAGGACGCTACACCGTACAGGAGTACAGAGGCGGGCACCACCACCGCAACTCCCGCCAATCCGTACCAGAGGTATGATCCCCAGTTCGTGCCCGGGCCAGAAGAGGAATGTTCGCTACCGTTATCATCACCACCGCCGTCACCACCACCACCGGCAGCAGCAGCATCACTACTGCCGTCAGCATTGGTAGTAGCTTGGGCTGATTGACTAGTGCTTTCCCGGCATGCACCTACGCACAGCACAGCACAGCACAGCACAGCACAGCACAGCACAGCACAGCACAGCACACACACACACACACACACACACACACACACACACACACACACACACACACACACACACACACACACACACACACAAGATGGGCAGAGTACAATACAATCACGATATGCATGTCACACAAACACCAATGATTGCTTACAACTTCAAAAGAAGTAACCAATGATTGCTTACTACTTCAAAAGAAGTAACCAATGATTGCTTACTACTTCAAAAGAAGTAACCAATGATTGCTTACTACTTCAAAAGAAGTATTACTCTTTTTTATGATCTCGCTAATAGTAGTATTACAAGAGCATGTTCTTGTATCCGATGTTTAGCGATTTTGCTGAGTGAGTTTTCTTGATAAATGTAACAGCACTTCTTTATTAGAGAGGTTCTGCTACACGGAATGATGTACCAAACTCTGTGTCAACTGGAGTGAAGTTTGACACAGATTTTTCGTACGTTGCACCGGTTCTGCTGTACGTAACATGCTCGAACACCCCGCCATATGTACTCTGTACGCTCAGTTTTCACACAGAGTCCAGTCCGATCGAGTCGAATCGATCGAGTTACGAATGTTTTAGTGTATGCATATCCATCGATCTCTAGAGATCGATTCCAGTAGGCACGGATGGTAAAGGGTTAAAGGGGAAGTTAAGGCTAAAATCAAAATTTCACCAGTTGTAGTTTTCGGGGTGCTGAGTCGAATGGTCTTGGTCCGAGGAAGCTGAGACGCTCCCTTCCTACTTTAATCCCAATCGAACTCGCGCACTTCCACCGAAACTGGGTGACTGCGCCCTACTAGATGGGGATTTGTATGCAAAATGTCACTAAAAGCGCCATTTCGTTCTTATAAAAGCACGGATGACCACGATTGGCCCATATGTTGTAGTCTTTTGGACGCTGAGTCGACTGGTTTTGGTCCGAAAAGGCTGCGATGCAGTGTTCGGCCCTTATTCCCAATCGAACATGGTTGAACAAGCGGTCACGTGCTCCTGCGTACACCAGTCACCTGGTCACCGTGCCTGCAGGGTACAACTTACTAGCCTGTTTGACCTTTTTTGGGTGCAGTCCTGTCACTCGAGTTGAACCTTGGTGTGAAAGTTGTCGCCTGCTGGCGCGGTGACCAGGTGATTTGGCCACCCAGGAGCACGTGACCGCTTGTTCAACCATGTTCGATTGGGAATAAAGGAGGAACGCTGCATCGCAGCCTTTTCGGACCAAAACCAGTCGACGCAGCGTCCAAAAGACTACAACGTATGGGCCAATCGCGGTCATCCGTGCTTTTATAAGAACGACATGGCGCTTTTAGTGACATTTTGCATACAAATCCCCATCTACAATGTAGTAGGGCGCAGTCACCCAGTTTCGGTGGAAGTGAGCGAGTTCGATTGGGAATACAGGGGGAAGGGAGCGTCTCAGCTTCTTCGGACCAAGACCATTCGACTCGGCACCCCGAAGACTACAACTGGTGAACATTTGATTTTAGGCTTAACTCCCCCTATAAGGTATGTCCCTTTGGCTACAATCCTGCTGTAACCATAACGACTTCTGGATGACCACTACACTACACGTTATCTCTGCAGTCCTGCGGTAGGGGACATGATCGCTTGGCAAAGCGAGCATGTGTGCTCAAGTACCGGAACTTCAGTACGCACGCATGCACATACACATGAGAGCACACACGCGTACATACATACACACACACACACACACACACACACACACACGCATGTGTAAATCTGATCGTGTTCACTACATTTCGGCTTCTGACTTTTCGAGGACTATATTGCATGCCGCAAGATGTAACCTAAGCTACTTTGTAAATTGATGATTTGCAGCAGCCCGACAGACATCATTATATTTACCATCCTTTTCCGTTTCTTCTAGCGGAGTGGTAGTTGTGCCATCAACTTCTGTGGGCAATTGAGGAAGACCAGCATCAGTCGCAGGTATAGGAGGTCCAGGTGAGTCAGTGACATAATTATATTTACCATCCTTTTCCGTTTCTTCTAGCGGAGTGGTAGTTGTGCCATCAACTTCTGTGGGCAATCGAGGAAGACCAGCATCAGTCGCAGGTATAGGAGGTCCAGGTGAGTCAGTGCTGTCATATCTCCCTACTCCGACTTCTTCTCTGCTCACAACGGACGCACCACCAGTACTGTACTGTGGACTATCAATGCTGTACTGCATAGTGTCAAGGGTACCACCACCAAGTGCTGCTCTTCCGTCGGCGCTGACCTGCGAGCTGTACTGCATAGTATCAAGAGTACCACCGCGCAGTGCGGCATTTCCGTCGCCGCTGAACCGCGAGCTGTACATCACACATCCATCTCTGCCTGGCGTGACACCACCACCACCATCACCACCATCAGCACCAGAACCAGTAGCCATGGGCGCCGGGGTCACCGGCTTCTCGCCACTTTCATCCGGAGAAGGGCTGACCAGCTCAGCTGATGCACTGCTGGCATAGGTAGGTGTATAGACAGGCTCCGCTATCGCGTGGTCACCGCCGGCATCGCTTGCTTGCTGTGGGGTGATTGGCTGACTGCCGGATCTCTCAACTGCAACACCACCAGGTGAAGAGACAGGTGGAGAGACAACCAAACAAAAACAAACAGACAGACACACAGATTCTGTCGCGTGGTTTGCCCTTCTACCATTGTGCATGTATTTTCCAGACAGATAGACGGGCAGATAGATGGAGAGATTGGCAAACAGAGAGGTCTTGAAGCAAATCCAGTTAGTGACCAGTACAATCACAGGTGTAACACACCATCCATAGTGTATCCATGGTAACACACCATCCATAGTGTATCCATGGTAACACACCATCCATAGTGTATCCACCAAGTGTTGACTGTAGACCTTTGATATTCTGGCAAAATTCCCGGGCAATGTTGGAACTTCCTGCCTCTACAAAATCTTCACCCCCCCCCCCTCACACACACATGCAAACATACACACAAACACACACACACCATTGACCATTTGACGCCCATCGCCAGAGGCGAAGATAGCGATGCTACTGCAGAAGCCATAGCAACTTGTGCTGGGATTGTGCCATTCAACAGCTTGCAAGGCTGAAGAATTGAACGCCACTATTCAGCCTGGTCTACACCACACAGCTATGAAGTGGCTTTCTCTGGCCAGATAATCCCTACTTTTTGGTCTTTTTTCATTTTTTTCCGCACACACGTCACACCACATACTCCGGCATGCACTGGCTGTCGGCAAGAGTACATGAAAACCAGAGTGTGCAGCTTGGGGCCTTTTCTGCTATGGGTGTCTGTCACGGCGAAATTCCGTGATTACATCATATTTGGCCCAGATCTGAGGCGGGAAATGGCGTAGTGCGTACAACTGAGCTGCAGTTGTGCAGAAAGAGACCTGCTTGAATCCTGCTTGCACGCACTACATCACTAAAATGATGTAATCACGGAATTTCGCCGTGACAGCAACCCATCCGAGCTGCACACTCTGGTTTTCATGTACTCTTGCTGTCGGTAACCACCCAGGAGAATGAAAGAAAAGCCAGGAGTCTGAGAAAGAGAAGAAAGACGTGTGTGACCATAATCTTGGGGAATCGAACCCGCAACCTATCGATTGGAATTCGTTGCACATACCACTGCACCATATGGGACACACACACACACACACACACACACACACACACACACACACACACACGCACGCACGCACACACACATGCACTCACACACACACGCACACATGCACTCACACACACACGCACACACACTCACACACACACACATACACAGTCACACATTGATGAAGAAGAAGAAGCATCACCACAACACAGTACATCACAGAATACTCACATTGCTGCATGGCTTCCATCCACGCTGGGACTATTAAAAGTCAGGGCAAGAGAAGCAGCAACACGCAGCCAGCGTCACCGATCAATACAAGAACATGTTTACACACATGGCGTGCACATCCATGTACTATTGTGTGTGTGTGTGTGTGTGTGTGTGTGTGTGTGTATGTGTGTGTGTGTGTGTGCGTGTGTGTGTGTGTGTGTGTGTGTGTGTGTGTGTGCGTGTGTGTGTGCGTGTGTGTGTGCGTGTGTGTGTGTGTGTGTGTGTGTGTGTGTGTGTGTTTCTCAACAATTTTACTTGGTCATAGGGAAATGCCAAAGGATGGAGACAGACTGGGAAAATAGACTGGCAGACAGACTGGCAGACAGACAGACAGACAATGAAACGGAAGATAGCTGGACCACAGGAGCAGGACTAGACTGATTGATACTGATAAATGAATTCCTTGGCTAGACCTATGCTGATGTGTCATCGTAGGGATATCAAAAGCTATTGCCGAGACAGACAGACACACATAGACATGAGAGAGAGGGGGGGGGGGAGAAATGGGGACGAATTGCCAGTTGGGCTGAGAAGTTTGCACAGAGGCGTAACACATGTTGCAACGGAGGAGATGTTTCCAGCTAACTTATAACACATCACCACAGCACACAGCACACAGACTACTTACTAGCATCTTGTTCTCTCCAATGGTGAATTTCTAGCAAGCATTGAAAGAAGAAACAGACAGAACAGGCTCGCATGCAAAACAGAAACTGTAGACTATAATGATAGTATGGAGTACAGGACACATTACCCCCTCCCCCCTTTCCTACACATGAACACACACATACACACACACACACACACACACACACACACACACACACACACACACACACACACACACACACACACACACACACACACACACACACACACACACACACACACACACACACACACACACACACACACACACACACACACACACACACACACACACACACACACACACACACACACACACACACACACACACACACACACACACACACACACACACACACACACACACACACACACACACACACACACACACACACACACACACACACACACACACACACACACACACACACACACACACACACACACACACACACACACACACACACACACACACACACACACACACACACACACACACACACACACACACACACACACACACACACACACACACACACACACACACACACACACACACACACACACACACACACACACACACACACACACACACACACACACACACACACACACACACACACACACACACACACACACACACACACACACACACACACACACACACACACACACACACACACACACACACACACACACACACACACACACACACACACACACACACACACACACACACACACACACACACACACACACACACACACACACACACACACTGTGGCACACACATTCACATGGATAGGTCCGATCCTTGTGACGCGAAAGATGGGTTCAATCGCGACACATTCCCTTGATCAAACATCCAAATAGAACCTTGCTTTGAATCGATGCGAACTTCAGAACCTGTATTTCGAAGGTGCTTCTGGTTGCCCAAATACCCTGCTTACAAAAGACTTCCGCCCAGGGCCATGTTTTAACGTTAGCCAGTGATCCCCTTTCACAGTTGGACCCTTTCACAGTTGGATGGGATTATTCCTCGAGTATGGTCCACTGAGGCACATATCTATTTTTACAAGACACTGCACTCACACATGCACACACCATGCACATGCACACACACACACACACACACACACACACACACACACACACACACACACACACACACACACACACACACACACACACACACACACACACACACACACACACACACACACACACACACACACACATGTGTTGTAGTGCGTTATTTTGTGTACGTCACGTTGGTGCATGCGCGTGTTGCTGTGGTATGAAAAGCAGTCTTCGTCTTGAGAGTTCATGATGTCTTCGTCTTGAGTTCGTCATGTCTAGATGTGTTTCCGTCCTCGTCTCGTAATAAACAGTCTTCCTAAATGTAGCTATCGTCGTCCCTTTGTACAAGTGTGGAGATGGCACGGAACTGGGAGCAGGTAGAGAAAGGCAGTTACAACATTGGTGGCAGCGGTGATAGAAATTTGTTGTCAACTTCTGGATTCGTCCTGCGTGGCCTTCGCTCCCAGTTTCCGATGTCATCTCCAGTCGTCCTATCGTCACAGTTTCGTCCGTCTTCAAGAAGTTCGTCCGTCGTCATTGTCCTTCATCATTCGTCTCTCCCGTCTCTTGTCAGTCGCCGTCACTGGTGGTCCCGGACACGACGTAAAACTGTGCCCAGAAGAAAAACTGAAACAGAAAAAAAGAAGGATGGAAGGTGAAGGCTGCAGTGTGAGGATGTGGACGCTGAGCAGCGCTCCTTGAGATGGCGGACGGCATGGCAGACGGCGTGAGGAGTTTCGTTGGTGAGAGGGTACGTGTGTTGTTGTGAACGTGAGGAGTATGTGAGTTTTGTATTTTCTGTTCTCCCAACATTTTGTTCTTTATTATTTGCTCTCCTCAGCGCGTGTGTTCTGTTTGTTTTTTATTTGCTCTTCTATGAGGATAACTAGAGGCCCCCACAGAGCCAATTGATTTTGTTCTTTTTGTTATTCCTATGATTTGTGCTCTCACATTTTTAGAATTTTTGCGTGATCGTGAGGTGGTGTGTTGTGTTAAGTAGAGTTTTTGAGGTTATCAGTTCCTACACGTGTGACAGCGATCGTGGCTGGTGTTCTGGGTGGGCGGACAGAGTTTTTGTAATCTGCAGTGCAGGCAGAGGTATTTTATTTCTGGGTGTGACTGGTGTGGTATGATTGAGTGATTTGTGTGATCTTTTCCTCTTTTTACTCTGTTTTATCTCTTGGGAGGGAGTTATGTTGTAGTGCGTTATTTTGTGTACGTCGTGTGTACGTCACGTTGGTGCATGCGCGTGTTGCTGTGGTATGAAAAGCAGTCTTCGTCTTGAGAGTTCATGATGTCTTCGTCTTGAGTTCGTCATGTCTACTTGTGTTTCCGTCGTCGTCTTGTAATAAACAGTCTTCCTAAATGTAGTTATCGTCGTCCATTTGTATAAGTCTGGAGATGGCACGGGACTGGGAGCAGGTAGAGAAAAACGAGTTACAACACATTGACACACACACACACATACATAGGCTGTCCTGTCCTGCCAAGCCACAGCCACAAGGGTCACGCTGGCCCCGTAGGGGTAGCGGAGAGAGTATAGGAGAATGCCGTCCTATGGCACATACACGTGCACACACGTGCACACACACTGTCCTGCCAAGCCACAGCCACAAGGGTCACGCTGGCCCCGTAGGGGTAGCGGAGAGAGTATAGGAGAATGCCGTCCCAGGGCACATACACGTGCACACATGTGCACACACACACACACGTGCGCGCGCACACACGTGCACACATACACACACATTACCATGCACACTGCTTCATTCTAAGTTCTTACCTAGTGTGTTGTCGGGATACTCCCTCAACGGCTTCGCCAAGCCTTCGTAGTACATTTTGAAATTTTGTTTGAATGTGTCGGTTTGCTCAATGGCGCACATGAACAATTTCAATCCCTTCTCCGTCTGTGGTAGATATGTCCAAATTGCTCGGAATCGCTCAATGTCAGTTTTCATCGGGTGCTGGAGTTTCTGATGGATCTCGCTGTTTGTTTCAAAGATTCCATTTTCCACAAGATAGTCGATGATCGAATGACTCTCGTTTGCAAATCGTGTTTTCAAGTACACAAGACGCCGCTGGACCCTTTCCACTAACAGTGGCATGCACTCTGCCATTTCGACTTGTGGGAGCCAACTCAGGTTTCACCGCAGCAGCACGGCCGTTGATGAGGTTGATAGTAGTATGTCGGCGGCGGTGGTGGCAGTAGTACGGCCACCGGTGGGTTACATCACTTTGAACAGTTTTATAGTCACTCTAGAAAACCAGATCAGTTCACACACACACACGCACGCACCCACACATGCACATGCACGCACATACACACATCCCACGTGCAAAGCGGACAGAAAACAGAAAGCGTCAGCATTTCATTCTTCAGTTTCATCACTCACAAAAAAACGACAAACCAACCATAAGCCTGCCCCCCCCCCCCCCCCACACACACACACGTACATACACAGTCACAGATATCAACACATGTGTAGTGGCTTGCAGTGACCACTGATGACATGGACCATCTGTGCTGGATGGTACAGTGTACCGTGCAATGTCAGATTCAATGATATAGCGTACTATCACACATCGCACACTACAAGCAAGGGGCACCTTGAAAGCCTGCAATCGAAAGCAAGGTTTAGCCGGCATGGTGATGATGGCAAGCGTGACAGCAGCAGTTACTAGTACAGTGCTGCTCAATACCATCCAGTCACAGCGGTGTCACTCAAGTTTGCGCCTTGCATCATTCCCCCCAGCCCAGAGATCGCAGGTCCATGGCCGCGCAATGCCCGGCGCGTACTTGAGTGATGCGACTCTTGAGTGATGCGACTCTTGAGTGATGCGACTCTTGAGTGATGCGACTCTTGAGTGATGCGACTCTTGAGTGATGCGACTGCCGGGATTCGTTGAGCACTACTGTACATGGTATGTGTACAGACTAAAGACGCATTATTATTTTTAATTCTCTAACATTATAAACTCATGCCACCACCCAAAGCCATCCATTCTTTATCCACTGCATCGCGACGATGTTGTTTAGAATGACGAGAGGTCTGGAAAAGTATCGTAAAACACCCGTGGGGTGTCGCAAGTGTTCATTCAAACATGAATGATCATGAGCATGTGATCGGTAATCAAGTATGACATAACTCAGTACGAGGTCATAATATTATGATGTACACATATCACGCATTAGAGAGGCAAGGACAGCAGAAGCGACCCGCGGGGTCTTGCACTGCAGGAACGGCTGCGTGTACTACTAGGTTGCTATGGCAGCGGAACACTAAAATCTTAGAACACATGAATAGTTCAACAGTGCTAATGTGCGTGCACCATGCGGCGGCGCCCATCGGCAGCACCCGTGCCTCTTACCGGTTTTAAACAGTGTGGGAGGGTGGGTAAGCAATTACCGCGGCGGGCAGGCACAACAAGACACTGGCGGAAATGTCTTTACCTGTTCCTGCCTTGCGAGGGTCGCCTTGGGTGCGCTTGCGCCCAAGGCAGATTTTCTTTTTTTATATGTGGCTTATACGACATGCCGAACGTGCATCGCGGTTGCGCGTGCGGACGTGGGGCACCGTGCGGGAGCCCAGCAGTGCGTACAACTACAGCGGAGCTCGTATGAGATTGCCCCGGTGTTGGCGTGTCAGCAGATAACATCTCCAGGCCGGCGATGCGGCTCTGTGACATGCAGGTTAACTACGATTTGCGCAACGCAAACGAACATTTTAAAATGTGAGTGGCTAACCAGGGGCTTGCCCATCACCTTTTAAAGAAGTGTGCAACAAACAGCAGATGCGGCGCTAGATGGTATGGTATTGATTTATTTGAATTCGGTATCTCAACAGTACAATGTACAACTTGGGAAGATCCGAATGACATAGATACATAAAAATAAAAGTTAGATACGTGTGCATGCTAGCGACGGCCAGACAGTGCACAGGAAACATGCAATTCATCTGCCGGGTTCTCAGCTCGCGTGCCAAGTACAAATACTCGGACTTCCTATCTATCTTATTCTAGCTCCGGTACTTATACCTTCTCTGAAAACACAAAATAAATCAATACTAGTCTTGATGATGATGATGATGCCGAGTTTTACCTTTTAGCTTCTAGCAGATTTGTTTGGCCTTCGACGCTACGACGCGTGTTGTGTTTCATCAGAAGCAGCAGCAGCAGCAGCGGCAGCGGCAGCAGCAGCAGCAGCAGCGGCAGCAGCAGCAGCGGCAGCAGCAGCAGAAGCAGCAGCAGCAGCACACTGCCCAGACACGGGTTTGTGTTGTCACAAGACGCAGATAGACACCTGCGAGTTCAAAGCTTGACCTTGACCGTTCGCTGCTCAGCAGGTAAGAGCCACAAACACCAATGACTATGTTCTTGAGAGGCCGGTACCGTGAACGGACAATACTCAATAGCGAGCAATATCTGCATCAGCTAAACTGCTGGCTCTGCAACATTTGTTCTCGCAGGCCAGCTAGTAGTATAGTGTCTATTTTTCTTTTCTTCTACAAGTTTTTACCAGGAATCAGCAGCAGGATGCAGGCCATCGTCGTCTAGTCTTCCTATGCACATTGACTTTGTATAATACCGGTACATGTATACCAGCGCTTTGGCCGAGTGGTTGTGGGCTTGCCTGCGAATCACAAGGTCCCGAGTTCGAGACCCGCGCTGGGAGCAGGGAGCGTGTACTGGCTACTGCACCATGTGCACTGTGCTAGCAAATGCGGTGATGCACGCGTGATCCACTTGTACATGTACAGTGCGTATCGGTTATAGTGTGGTCGTATACAAGAATATACTGCCTACAACTTCAGGGCTCACAGTAGGCATGCAGGATCGACAAAAGCGTCGTGCGAGGGCGGGTTTGGTGCACGTGAGTCGCGTGACCCCGGGAGAGTACCGATCGTGTGTACATCCCACACAGAAAAGAGAAAGAACCCGAGTTGTACTTCAACTACTATGTCTTGTACCATGTGTACTGCTCTCGTAGTTTTAGAGCCGATGTTCGCGATATTTTGGAGGAGAAGGCGAAACGCAACCTGTGCTAGTCCCAGTAAAAACAACATGCCATGTTCGACCAAGAGCTGATCCTACAATGAGCGATCGTGATGATTCCACAGGTAAGAAGACAAACAAACGAGTCAGAGCTCGCCAGGCAGGTAACGCCGAGAACATGATGATACGACACGGAGCTGGTGATCGGATGGAGGTGAACGGGACCAGCAAATCCACCGGGCGTTTGTCGAGGGCCACTGAAGACCAGGTTTCCCAGGGTGCCAGTTCCTCCATGATGGCGAACTGCGCTGCCACAAGAACTCCAGCGAGAATGAAAGCACAGCAACCAACGCCGCGGGCGAACTGAGGAGAGAACACTGAACAATCTGTGCACAATGATTTTCTCTTCGACGGCACGCGTTGCTGTTCTGCTGCATGCATGCGTTTTTCTTGTTGTTTGATCTTCACACATTTTCGCGCAAGCGGTTGCGCGCCGCTGGGACTCGGGGTTACTAAAATTAGTACAGAGCATCTCCCCCTTGGTCGATTTGGACAATCTATGGCTCAAAATTTTCAGGAGACCCTGGCAAAGAAATTTACCGAGACGTTTCTGGATATTCCTTTCGAATGCTGTACTATATCTCACGAAGTTTACGCATATGCTCTGGCATACCCGTGTGAGTAATGAAAATTTGTTTCGGTAAATCTTTTGGAACACCTGTCAACTGTGCCTGGGCCAAGTCTCAGCTTCGTAGAACCAGGCTGAAGTGCTGCTAACTCCTTCAAACACCCCCTACTTCGAGCAAAATGCGACGAAATGCTGACTGCTGATTGGCCAAGCTGGCATTTTGGAGCACGTGCACCGCCCCCATCTAATCGACGCTTTTCTACGCAACTGTGAGCCCTGAACTTACAAGAATGACCACTCATTTTTTCATAATCATAACACCTATTTTATGTGTATTTTTATTCTTACAAGCAGTATTATCGCATAGTAGAATATATCGGCCCTAAGAATGGATTTTGTGTAGCAAAATATGACAGATTAGTGCAAAGTGTATCGCCTGTAGTAATAACATCTGTGCTCTGTGCATGCTCAATACAATAATATTCAACACAAAAAGAGAGTTATGTCCAACTGAGCATTGTAGAACCACTTTTTCTGTCCAGTCGGACTCTTTCTTCCGACTTCTCTCCTATCTGCTGCTCCGCGCGCAGTCGCCTAGCACGACCGCGAGTCTGATCCGTGTGTACAAGAGTACATGAAAACCAGAGTGTGCAGCTTGGGGCCTTTTCTGCTATCAGTCCATGCGCCAAGGGCCAAAAATGACCCGAATCTTTATGCAAAATGAAGATGACGACGCCGCTTTTTTCGACTATTTCTGTGACCAATTTTGAGCAGAATCACCATTTTGATCGTCTTCGATTTGGCATGGAAGACTTTCATGAATGCTATTGTAACTTGGCCTGCTGAGGGCTAGGATAGTCCCTAAACAAAATCTGGAAGCCGTTCCGCCAGAGATTTTTCCGTCATGTTGCAGCAGAGCCACTTTTCTCAATTTTGCGTCGTCCAGAATTTATGATTTTTGGATGCCAAAATACTTGATGGCGTGAGAACCAAAAAAGAACTACCGGACACCACCCAGACCTCAGGTATGTATAGTCCATTGTCCTAGGCTGCTCATAAAGCAAAAATTGTCTTGGTAGTAACTTGCCCAAAAATTTGGCGAATTTTTCCCAATAACCTAGTTGCCAATACACGAGAATCACGAAAACTGGTATGGCTGATGGATTTCTGATTTTCTTCTCGTAAACATGAGGACAATTATCTACGATGTTACAAATATTAATGGGTGTTTTGAATGTGTACAGATACACTTCAAAAGGCTGATCACGTTCTCAGATCAGCTGCAAACGAGGGTCAAAATTGTAGTTCAGAGCAATGTCCATTGAGGCTCTTCACCCGATTTCACAGTTCATACATGGTAGTCATGGGAAGTTGGGTAGAATTAAATAAGTATGTATGCACTCTTAATTACTCCATAGACAAAGACATGTTCTGGAGTCTCATGGTGTTCGACAGGCGCAATTATTACCTTCATCGTTTCTCGGTGAATTAACTCACTCCACCATTCCACACTGCACTCTTAGCCGACCCACGCCGCTTGCACATCACCAACACAACGGGGACATTCCTGTTGAGATATTCCTGCCCCGTAAGCCGAGAAAAAAGGACAGCATTACAGTGAACAGACCCTGACAAGAGGACCATATCGTAATGGCCCATGCGCTTATACACACGCTTTTGCTGTATTTGTAACTTTTGCAGGTCGATTGGTCTCACATAGAGGCGCATGTGCTTGTAGTTGTGTTACTAGTATGGGATGTGGAAGCTGCGCATTAAACCCTGTAACGATGGCATATGGTGGTATCAGCGTGTCGTGGCCCATGGGATTGGGTTCACCTATGAAGTACAAGTAGGGCTGAAACGATTATACCGATTACTCGGTCATTGATCAATAATTCCTCACAATCAACTTCGATGCTTATGACTTGGTGTGGCTTTTCATTTTGTTTTTGTCCATGCAGGAGTCGGGATTATGCCGTCTACTGAACATTGTCGCATGCGTTCCTATAGAGCAAGCTGGCTGCTCTCCATCTTGATTATGGACTTCAAGTGTGGACCCAACTGGTCAGAGAAATGAAGGAACAATCGTCATGGTGTACTCTCAGGCCAAGGATATGCCTTGTGAAATGTGCCATATGCAGTACTTGAGGGATTGTCTCGTTCTTTGCAAGCTGTTCGGTCACAGGCAATACTGTCAAATCCCATGCACAGCTGAACTGGTTAAGAGTACGTGCACACCCGTCTTGTCCTTTGCCGAGGAACGTGGTCCAGCGTTTCGAACACAGTACGCTGACCATTTACAGCTCGTTTGTAGTGGATTGTGTGAGTTTGGTCTGGTGGGATTCGTAGCCGTGTTTAAACAAGCCACTGGAGACAGATTTTCAGTGCCTCTGTCTTGGTTGAGGTTTTTCCAATCATATTCTGTGCACATATGGGTATCCAAGTACCTATCGAGTATCATGGTCATGGTTACTGCATACAGATCCATGTGGCTCTCGAATATGGACAACAGTGTTCTGTTTGATGGCCAGGCCTGGTGATGTTGTCCTAATTTGGTCACTCCATCTTATCCCGGCATTCAGTGTGTAAATGCTGGTGCTGGATAAGTATAAGGAATGACACATGTGCTTTTCTCAAGATGCTCGTGTAGAATTCACTCCCTTTGACCGAAAGCTTGTGTTTCTGGATCCTGTTTGTAGCTGTACACAATTTCTCCGTTCTTCCTTGTGGTTAACTTTCGCCTCGGACTATCCCTAACAATCTCATTGGTGAGTCTGTCCATGACGTGGCTGGCTGGCATCGGAGTTGGGCACTGCCCTGTCATTCACTGGCATAGTGTTGAACCTAACTGACTTGTATGTCACAACTAGCTGGAAGTTGTTTAAAGGGTTCAGTTTCAGTGTTTTAGTGGCTTTCCCATTCTTATTACTTAGCTATTTCCTTTACTCGGCCTTAGGACACTTTCTTCACCATACACTGTGTTTCTTTGGCCGTAAAAGAGGCAGTCTGCACTTGTATTGAGTTTCCTCATTGTGATGGAGATGGAAAAGAAAGCACCCATATAGCACAGTGCACTTCCTGCCTGTGTCTCGGCTATAAGCACTTTTAGCTGCTACCATGTGGTTGACTGAAACCAGGGTGTGCCAGATTATTGATCAAGAATGCATGCTGCAGCTGGGCTGTTTTGTTCCTTTTCTCATGTAGATCTACATGTACAGTGAAGGAATCGAAATTGCATGTAACGTGCAATGTGTTTGCAAGTGAAATAATGTAAAGTCCCCCCCCCCCCTCCCCCGGAATACCTGCGCTCGAATGCAATGTGGTCCATGTGCATGATCATGATAATTGAATTGGTTCAGCGCTGTATTCTGGTGTATGTGCTGAAGTTGTTTACAGGTAGAAATTGACGGGGGGGGGGGGGGGGGCACACCAAGTTCTTTACATTACATGTACATGTACAGTAGAGCTTCGTCAAAGGGGAAGTTAAGCCTAAAATCAAAATGTTCACCAGTTGTAGTCTTCGAGGTGCTGAATCCAATGGTCTTGGTCCGAGGAAGCTCAGACGCTCCCTTCCTCCTTTATTCCCAAGCGAACTCGTGCACTTCCACCGAAACTGGGTGACTGCGCCCTACGAGATGGGGATTTGTATGCAAAATGTCACTAAAAGCGCCATTTCGTTCTTATAAAGCACGGATGACCGCGATCGACTCATATGTTGTAGTCTTTTGGATGCTGAGTCGACTGGTTTTGGTCCGAAAATGCTGCGATGCAACGTTCCTCCTTTATTCCCAATCGAACATGGCTGAACAAGTGGTCACCTGCTCGTGCGTACACCAGTCACCTGGT